AGTCTCCTACCATCTCGGGGCATGGATATAATACAATTAAATTCCTTATCAGGGTACTCTCTAGTCTAATCCCCAGTATGTATTTCTACTACATAAAAATTTTCAGTATAACTTTTCCTGTCTCCATTTCTGACTCCTCACAAGAATCATACAGTAAGCTCTGCTAACAGCACTCCAGGTTTTTCTTCCAGCCTGATCCCCCAACATTTTTCTAATTTCTCTTGTGAACTACTTCCAAAGGTTTCTCTCCACCATCATGCATAGTAATAGCAACAACCCACTTCTCAAGGTTTTGTGTTAGTTTTCCACTGCTGTAACAAAGTATGTGAAATAATGTATTTTAAAAGATTTATATTGTCACAATTTTGCAGTTTTCAGGCCAGGGTCAGTTGTTCCTGTTGCTTTTGAGATTCTAATGAAGCAGAGTAGGAACCTCTTACACCTAGGGAGGAGCATCTGGCCAGAGGCACTGCTCACCAGCAGGGTGTAAGCAGAGACCAGGAGGAAATGCACCCCAATATCCCTTTTGAGGGCATGTCCCCAAAGAATAGAAGATCTCCCACTGGAGACTGAGACTTTAACACAGAGATCGCTCAGAGGTATTCTAGATCTAAACTACAGCATCCATCCAATCAATTATTTAGAGTACTCCTACAGTTTTAGATTTTAGTTTCCATTTATCTAATGAAATTCTCCATTTCCTTAAAGATTTTGATCATTTTTCAAAATTCTTTAATGTAGTATTTAAAGCTGTTGCCTATCAGTTCAAAATTGGTTTCACCTGTGAGTTTCCTTATTGTTTTTTTTCCTCTATGCATCTCATGTTCCTTCCTGCATGTACCTCCAAAGTTTTATTTTTGTCATTGTATATGAAGAACAACAGATACTAAAGAAGAACATATTTTCCCCCAAAGGAAGTTCTTTGTCTCCTGTCAAGCAAGTAAAGAGCATGCTTCTTCAATCTAATCGTGAGTTTGGGTTGGAGCTGAGCTGCCCTTTTATTTCATTCCAGTTCATCTTTAGTCTCCAATGTCTTCAGGACAGAATCAGCCCTGTTGCTCCAGCAAACCTTTAAGATCTTTCTTTACTGGCTCAGCCCCAACTTTATTCATCACTGCTTACTCAGCAAAAGTCCTGATGAAATTTGGTGAGTCAGGCGAACTAGCTCTGTTTGGGAATCTCACATCCATGAGTCACGTCAGTCCAAGAGACCTTCCAGAATTCAGCTAGTTTATCACACTGCCAGACAAGATCCCTTATGTCAGGCACGCTTCCTTCTTTGTCCACCTATGCCTTCTGATGCAATTAATGCTTCCACAGATACAAATCGCTGCCAGCCACTTTTTACCTAAAACTCTTGAACTTAGTTCATTTAAATTTGTCTGAGAACACTGTACTTCAACAAGTTTAAAGAAAAATACAAAATCGTTTAAGTTATGGAGTTGTTCCTTCATTGCTACAGAGAGCAATGAAACAATGGTCTCCTCCTCTTCTTTGGTATGGGGAATGGAACCGAGGGGAAGGGGAACCCTACCACTGAGCTATGTCCCCAGCCCTTTTTATTTTTATTTTCAGTCTGAGTCTTGCTAAGTTGCCAGAATGGCCTCACACATGCAATCCTCCTGACTCAGCCTCCACAGTGGCTAGGATTGCAGGCTTCACCACCACATTCAGCTCTCTTCCTTCTCCCCCTCCCCCTCCCCCTTCTCCTTTATCTTCTTTTTCATTTTTTTGAGCCACAGTCTCAATATGTAGTCTACACTGCCCTTGAACTTGTCATTTCCTGCCTCAGCACCCAGACCCCTGGGATGACAGACTTGTGCCCCAACAGATACCCTAACAGTCCTTCTATATCCATCATTCTTCTCACTGGAAAGTTACATCCCTATGCTTTCTTACCTATTATCTTTAAACTCAACTGTCCTATTTTCTGAAAAACAAAACAACAACAACAAAAAAAACTTGCTAATTTCCCTCAAGGCATTTAGTGGCTTCACTTTTTTGTCATTATTTATTTACTCATCCTAGAGGGCTCATCACTAGTCTGATGTCATCTACTGTAGCTACGAACGGATAGAAAAAAAAGGCAGGCAAGGAGAAATCAGTGGGACAAAATAGAGAAGCACTTATAAAAGTGGGAAAAAAATCTGGATTTTTAAATGTGTTATATCTCAAAGACCATATTATCTCAAAATCTTAAAAATATTCTCAGAGTAAATTAAGAATTATTAATAAGCAAATTATATCTCTGAATAAAACTTACTGATGGAAAAGATTTTTCTGAGTCCGAATGAAATGTGTATCCCTCAAAATACCAAGTAATACTGGCCAGTGGTGAGAAGGCCCAGTATACTATCCTATTTTACAAGAGAACTGCTCAGCTCTCTAACTTTAGCACATTCTTTAAAGACTGGATTAAACTGCATTCCTAAAATAAGCTCCCTGTTATATTTTCACACAACCCTATGTTATGCCACTCATAAAGGCAACTATTTATACGCCTCATGTAAATGTGTGGATGTCTGAATATACCAGAAAGTATTCTTAAACTAATAAAGTTCTACTCTTCAATTAAGATAAAAAGATCTTTTAATACATGCACAATCATACACAGTAGGAATTCATACAGAACATGATGCCCTACTCTAATAATATGGTTGGAAAAGGAACATCCTGATCACAATACTTTAAATACACTACTTTCAATACCTGAGAATTTCCCAAGGCAGAAGAACTGGGGGGGAAGGGAGGCATCTAGGAGGGTAAATCAAATAAGAAGATTACTAGTGATTAGGGTACAGGAAATAGAAGTGGTGATACAAAAAATATGACTAAAATAATTTAGTCAGCATTCTTAGTAAAAGAATTTAAAAGCTAGAGACATTTCTATATTTCTGGTCAGTTTAAAAAATCAGGTACAGTGTTCTAAAATAGAAGCAAATGGAAGGTAAAACCAGTAAGAATGACATTGCGTTAAATACATAAACTACTTTAAATGGCATAATTCCTTAAAGGATACCTATACCCAGAAAAACCAGAAGTAGAGCTTCTCATGAATTAGTTTTTAAACATCTTTCAATGTTTTTAAAGGAGTAATAAGTGTTCCAATGTAAGCTGCTGTGCACCTACAGTTATGCTATCCGTAGGTGTCTCCCTATCAGACTATATGAAGAGTGCTAAGCACGGATGTTCGCACGGCAGCAGAAACTCATCCGCAGGAACCCTAAACGCACAGGTATAAATTAGGATAGCTGAACTGTAGTTTTATCTTACACAGAAAACATTTAAATGGAAGCTAAGGACAGCTGGTGAAATGTGAGTCTGTGAGTCAATCACTCAAAAACCACTAGCACTAAGCAACATAAACGTAAAAGGCTTTGAAAGTGTTTGCGGATTTTTATATGCCCACCTAGGATAACTTAAATTAAGACTTTTGGTTGTTTCCTAACCAATCAAATGTAATTAGATGAAAAAATGAATTATGAAAGGCAATTGCCAGTTCTGTAGCTATTTACCTTTCAAGTATGTTTATTTCTTAAGATAAAAGAACAGGCTAAAGAAAATAAGGTTCATTTACTGACTATAAAAATTCCTTACTATGCACAGCAAGTCTCATTTACTAAAGGTACAAAACTGAAGTCAGCAGGGGAAAGACAAATCAACCAGCAAAAGGGCAAAGATCAGATGGAGTCCATATTTAAAGGATTGTTATTACATAGTTCCCATGGAGACGAATACAGAAAAGCATGAGAAGTATGCATGATGCAGAACCACTGGCCATGCGGATTAGACCAGTTACTACTAAGATGAGAACACTTTTTAAGTTTTATAAGGTGGCTAGATTACTTCAAAGCTCTCTATTAGACGGCTACTCCTAATGGTTTCCTAATTTGAACTCCTAAAACCCAGGGTCAGAGCATTTCCTGAGAGGAATCATTTTTTTTTTTTTTAAAAAGCCTCTGTCCTAATGTTCAACATATAGTAAAAGATTACACTCAATTTTAATTAAAATGTGTATAATATTTATTATTATATATCAAACTAAATGAACTCATTTTCATTATCAGAATGAGGAAAGAACTAGTATATTTTTTAGGAAACATAGTCCCTAATCATAACTATGCTGAGGTTTTATAAGAGTGAGCACAGTGACGTAAGAATTAAGGTATCAGAAAATATATTCAACAAAGAAGTATTTGCAAAAAAATAAATCTAATAATTTAATGCTTCAACTGGAAGGAAGAAACCACAGGAAAAATAAATTCAATAAATTATAATGAGGAAACACAAAATTAGACAGGACTTTATAATAAAATGTAACAAATTACATATAAGACACTTAAGAATTACACTGTAGGTAGGAACAACTAACACACTTATTCTCCTCAAAATAATACACAAAGAAAGAAGATATGTTAGGGTATTAGAAGAAGAAAGATTCTTATCAAGAAGTTGACAATTGTTGAAACAGCCTTGCAATATTATGCTGTCTACTTATGCATGTTTGAAATTTTCCATTAAGAAAGACATTTTAAATTATTACATAATCATATCATCTTAATACTGTGGTTTATTACCACTGTCAAAAGTCAGTGATGTGGGCTGGGCATTTAGCTCAGTGGTTCCGCCATCTGCCTCGCAAGCACAAGGACCTGAGTTTGATCCCCGGTACCAAAAAAAAAAAAAAAAACAACTCAGTGATGTTTCAGGTGTTTCAATAGAATACTGTCCTTCATATTTCAAGATGACAGAGACAACCCAGCAACAGGAAAATAAATTCTCTTATAGTTTTTGCAGAGTAATTCAAGCAGCGTTATGCACAGTCTCTAACATAACCCCTCTGAGTATCTGAGAGGTTCATAACCAAAGGCTGAACATTCACTTTAAAATAATCAGATTTTACCAGGTCTAAAATAATACATCCCAATTCAGAGAAACATCATTTTTTTAAAACAAACTAGACAGAAAAGATAAATACTGCTATAAAGCTACTCTCTTACCTTGACCAAGATGTGACGGTTTTTGAGAAACTATGTGGCCACTGCCATCTAAAACATATTGGGTGCTAAAATTATCAGCAGCTGTCCTTGTTGTAATTAAAACCTGGAAATAAAAAATAATCTAGTACAATTATCATTTTAGATATTGCAATAGGTTCACTACCAAATTAGATTTTAAATACTGGTAATAATAACATACTTACTTAATATAAAAAAAAACTTACTTGATAATTCTTAAGACCACTTCTCTTGAAGAATTTTAGAGTTACACCAGTAAATAAAGCAGCTTATACATTTTGTTGCAAATTATTGATTTTTCAGTATTTTAAGTAAAACACACAAAAACAAACCAATATACTTGAAATGGCAATTGTATACATACTATATGATTTACATATGTAAAAGCAAATATTTCATCTGCATTTACGAAATCTGTGTTTTAACACATTTCCATAAATTGTGGACAAAAGAATAACCCTTAGGTAAACTGATCATTCCCACCCCCTGTTACATCTTGTGTAAAGCTGTACTTTTGTACTTTAAGTTTATGGATCAAGTAGTTAAAAATATACATATATATATTTTATGGCAAATTTTCTTAAGCTCACGTTTAAACCCATTAAGTGTAAATTTTGTATTAATTAAAAGAAAAACTTGAGCATTAAAAGAGGGAGAAATTCATTCATTATGCAAATATTTCCTAGCTGGGTATAGAAGTAGCACATGCCTCTAATCCCAGCATTCTAGAAGGCTAATGCAAAAGGATCACAAGTTCGAATCCCGCCCAGGCAATGTTCCAACTTATTGAGACTCTCTCTCAAAAATAAAAAGGGATAGGGATGCAGCTCCATGCAAAGACCCTGGGTTCCATTCCCAAATACTGCAAAAATTGAAAAAAGAAAGAATGAAAGAAACTATTTCCTCAGAGGTTAGCCATATGAATTTAAGAGCATGTGTACTCATTTGAGCTACCCTCATCCTTGCAAGATAGCAGGAAAATGTAAGATGAGTAAATCACACCTGTGTCACAAGGACAAGGGCAGGAGTGGGGATGCTGCCTCAAGGACAGCAAAGGGGACTGGGAAGAAGGGAGGCCCACACACAGCAAGCAAGAGTGACCCAGACTTGACTGTAATCCTGTTTGGTCATCCTTGGACTCGGCAGAGCTGAATATCCTAAACATGTCTCAAAATGGAGAAACACAAAGATCCTCCTCTGATGGAACTCACTGGGCCCCTTTCATGTACATTTGCCAGTTCTGTCACTCTGTCCTCACCAAGCGTCACATGGCTCTGTGGAACACGTGGGGCACTCAGTAACAATACCAGAACCACCTCCAAAATCTGGCTTTTCCAGCTCAAAGTGCTGGTAGAGCCTGTTACAGTCTGAGTGAAGTCCATAGAAACCCTAGTAAGGGCACTGGGTCAAGCTGCTATTTCTGTGGAAAAAAAAAAAAAAAAAACTGTATCTAAAAGTTGTGAACTTCTGTGTGCTCTTAAATGACTACTCTACTTCTTCCAAAATACATTCCACGGTCTGAGAACAGTATAATTCAAAATGTCTTCCTGGTAACTAATTTTAATCTTCCCTGCTACTTCCCAACTGTAACGTATCCATTAATGATTTCCTCTGGTGAAGTACAATCCAAAACAAAGAAGACAGAAATGACCAGACACTCTCTTTCCTGAGATTTAATCATTCCACAACTGTCCCTTTAAAGCAATTCTACATTTAAGCAACAACTCCAAAATTCCAAGGTCAACTGAATTTTACCTCTATTATCTAAAGAGCTGGCCACCTGACCTCAAGTCGGTGTAACTGAGCAAGGCAGCTCTGGAACTCTTAGTTCCAGGACGAACTCTGCCAGTGGCTTCTGGGCGGTCTGAATAAATAATTACACTATCATCTCTGGGGGAGTGATGAGAAGATGAAGGTGATCTCTTATTTCATAAAGTTACTTGACATTTTTCTTTAACTGCTTCAAAGCAGTCTGTAAGATAGTAACTTATTCATTCTTTTAAAACATATTAATGGGTAGTAAATTTATTCCCGAGTACATGAATAAAGTGAAATGAGACCAGGGTGCCTATAATCCCAGCACTCTGAGAGACTGGGGTAGCAAGGTCCCAATTTAAGAGCCCAGCCTGGGCCACGCAGTAAACCTTGTGTCAAAGAAAGGGAGGGCCGGGGATGTGTGTACCTCAGTGAACAGGCCCTGGGTTCAATCCCCAGTACCCGCCCCCCAAAAGAAAAAGAAATAGGACTTTGTTTAAAAGTTAAAATGAACATAATACATTTTCCAATACAAAACTGCTTTAAGTTACAATCCTTAGGGCATTCTGAAAATTGACCTAGATGGGAGATGCTTTGCATTCACAACTGAAAGTGGTGAGAGGAAATATGCATATTTCACAAACTCACGAAACACGGTATGTTCCTCAGAGGAAGCAATTGCATTTCTTTTCTTTCTTTCTTTTTTTGTTTTTGAGACAGGGTCTCACTATGTAGTTGAGACTGACCTGGAACTCACTACGTAGCCCAGGCTGGTCTTGAACTCACAGCGATCCTCCTGCCTCAGCATCCCGAGTGCTGGGATTACAGGCGTCCACCACCACACCCGGCTGCAATTGCATTCCAAGATTCCTTTCATCATAACACCCTATATCCTGGACACGAAACCTTTTTTAGGACTAGACATGGGTTTAGAATGCATTAACTTCATCATCAGGAGAATCTCAAATATTACAAACTGTTGTTACTGGTGATTCCTACAAGAGACATTTGAGGAATTGTGTAAGTAAATCCAGTGATGTCAAGAAGTGTTTTTTTAAAAAAAAGTATTGAAAATGAGAAGTTTCAGAAGTCTCCAAAGGACCTCATTATGGGTTATATAAACTAGTCAGCTAATAAAAGCTAACCTAATTTCAAGGAATTACAGTACTAATACAAAATTATATAAAGGCATTTAAACTTCAGAAAAGTAGTTTTCCTCAATTTTGGATTAAAAAGTAAATTTAAAAATTCAGTAATCAGACAAAAAATCTTTACAAAAATTTATTTAGGGTAATTACAACAAAGCCTTTGGGGATGATCAGAAGGCTGACTTCTGTAATATGTTTTGGTCCTGGTAATCAAACTCCAGCACTAAGCTACACCCCAGCCAGGGGCTGATTTTTAGATGAAGAAGGGCAAAGAAACATGAATCTGAAAATGCAGATTAGTGGTCTTTATGACTGAGTGAAATATAGGCTTTTGCCTGAAGAAAACATCTCTTTTCTGTGTTGAGTACGCCTGCCTAACCACAGATAAACTCCAGTATGAGTATTCTGACTTTAGAACTACCCTACTACACAGAGACTGGCAACAGGAAAATCCTGGCCCTAGCTCCACTATTTCCAACACAGTTGTCTTGGCTTTGAGGAGGCTGCATGTAGGAACCATAATATCCCAGCAACTTCAAAACTTTCCATGCTTCTTCTGACTAAGGATTTACTACCATCTCTAAAGGACATAGAAGGTACCCTACGCTGAGGAAAACAAGTCAGTTATTTGTTTGGCCCAGAAACATCAGAATGATTCCAGGGATATCCCCATGCCCTTTACAACTATGTGGGCCACAAATAAGGAGTCCCAATCCCATCTTCAAAACAGAGTAAGTTAGCTTCTCTTTCTTCTCCCCCACGTCGCTGAGGTTTAATGTGACATAAACAGTAACAAGCCTATAGAGCCTGTGTTATCACAAAATTCTGTATAATTAATAGGTCAGAATATTATCCAATGGTAACAACTTTAAAATGTAGGATGAACAAATCAACAAATACAGCATGAATCAAATAGGACAAATGATAACTCAATTCTAATGGGAAAAAATGAACTTATGCTATAAAATAAAGACCTCTGATAAAAACTGGAAGGAATATACTTATGGTTATGAAGTCTCAGAAACTATTTTCCCAAAAATGTGGAGACTTATGCGTAACCTTTGCACATGGAGATGAAATAGTGCTTGCTGACAAGGGAACAAACAAGACTCATCATTTCATCACCTACGTGACACAGCAATCCACTGCTTTTCAAAGCAGAAACAATTTTCATCTACACGGTACACAGCAATATTCAAGGCTCCTTAGTGAGCATTACTTCACTTGCTCCTCAAATCACCATCCTCACTTTATAGATGAGAAGAAAATGACTCTCTAAATAAGTCTATTTCATACATCTGGCCAAGTCTCTTATTCAAACAGTTGAGAACTAGGCTCCTGATTTCAACATTCACAGTTTGTTCTCATTTTAATAAAACAAAACAGTTGTACCTTCCTCCTAAACAAAGGTACAACTTGGGCCGGGGATTTAGCTCAGTGGTTCCTCTGCC